TTTTCGAGAAATTTGCTTTGAAATATCGGAATACAATTCTGGAAAAGATCATGTACATATGATCTATTAATCATATATTACATTTTAATCTTATATATATAAATGTAGATGTCCTGACTGACTGACTCACTCATCAACGCCCAGCTCAAACCCCTGAACCTAGAAACTTGAAATTTGGAGGGTGTATTCCTTTCATGACGTAAGCATCCACTAAGAAAGGATTTTTAGAAATTCAACCCCTAAGGGGGTGAAAAGGGTTAAAATGTGTTTTCATGGATTCGTTAATATCTTTTAGGCTTGATGAGATAATTTTTATCAAAAGTTTTAAGGGGGTGAAAAGGGTTAAAATGTGTTTTCATGGATTCGTTAATATCTTTTAGGCTTGATGAGATAATTTTTATCAAAAATTTTTATCAAAAATATATGAATAAGAAAGAATTTTTAGAAATTCAACCCCTAAGGGGGTGAAAAGGGTTAAAATGTGTTCTAAGGGGGTGAAAAGGGTTAGGTAAATATAGCTGCATACTAAATCGATCGATAATAATGATATCTATATCTATATAAATAAATATACATTACACATCCTAGGGAGCACATATTAGTTTTATATACGTTTTTTAAACGTGTATATAGTTTCATAACTGTAAATATTCATTAAGAATTGATAAATAAATATTGTATGTATATACAATATCATGTTCTAACATAATAATAATTGCAGGAATATAAAATAGAAATCCAAGAATTAAAATTATGTGCATAAATTTTGTATTGACATATTTTTAACTCATTATGTTATTATTAAGCTATTACATAATTGAAAATGCAGAATTAATATGTGATTGTGAAATCATCAGCTAATGCAGTCTTTTTTTCATATTATGTAAATATAGCTACATACTAAATCGATCGATAATAATGCGCACGCGATTTGCGGTGACGTCATGCACGTTGAACATAGTACACTAATATTTTTTTAAATGTAAGATTTCAAACTTCACTATAAAATTGTCAAAACCGTTATAGTGCGAATGGTTTAACATTACGAGGTTATAGAATATATTCGTAAAGAAAAAGATAAAAATTAAAGAAAAGAAAAGAAATTGTTCCAAATAAGGGAAAGAGAGAGAGAGAGAGAGAGAAAATAAGGTATTTATAAAATAAAAAATATTATTTCAGTATGTTTAATTTATTTATATTTTATAAAATGCCTATATTATTGTTTTAGTATGTTTTAATTGCTTAATGTTTACATATTTTTTTTAAATCGGATTTATAAATTTATGTTTCTTTCGTATTGAAAGAGAGAGAGAGAGAGAGAGAGAGAATAGGAATGTGACTAAGTAAGGATACAATCATGAATGTGTCAAACATTTTATATGTTGTTTCACAATTTTGCAGTTTGTAATTGATTAAAGAAGCGTGAGAAAGAGAGAGAAGAAGGGCGTATATTAAAAAAAAAAAATATCACATTTTTCGACATTACATCGTGTTCGCAGTTATTCAGAGAGAGAGAGAGAGAGAGAGAGAGAGAGAGTGTGTGTGTATATTACAAAGTATCTTTCACGTTTATTTCATGTTTGCAGTTATTCAGGTAATAGAATTGTTTTTGCTTTAGTTATATAGTTTCACAATACTGCTTATATTATCAATCTGAGCAGTTATTCAAGTAATAAGATCGTTTTTGCTTCAATTGTTCAGTTTTTGCTTTAGTTATATAGTTTCACAATACTACTTATATTATCAATCTGAGCAGTTATTCAAGTAATAAGATCGTTTTTGCTTGAATTGTACAGTTGGATCGTTTTTGCTTTAATTGTACAGTTTAATACTATAACTATAAACTGTTATTTGATCTATTTAAAGCAGTAAAACGCATGAAATACTGCTTATTTTATTATTTTTTATGGAAATTGGAAGAGGATGCAAAACGGCTTTAAGGATTTTTTTATTAAAATCTAATACAGTTTATTATTTTTTAAGTCGGTATGGCATATGAGTTTTTAAATGTTAATGGAGAGATGGTGCCTCACACTATTGTCCCGATCACAGGGGATGGAGCTTGCCTGTTCCGATCTCTCTCATATCTTATGTATTACAATCAGTTAATGGCTAGCGATGTGCGTGAACTAATCGTGAAACATGTGGTGGATAATTGGGAGGAATTTTTCATTATGTCCCACGACAGCAAGGGGGACAATTATACCAGCTCTGCTGAATATCTCGCTCACATGTCTCAACCATTTACTTATGGTGGTTTATGCGAGTTGGTGGCGGATGGTGAATTATTCGGGTTTGTCTTCGAGGTTTACCGCAATGGTGAGCTCTATAAAAGTTTTGGTGTTGAAGGTCACCCTGTTAAGAGGCTGCGCTTTACGCAGGACCTTTCTAAAGGACATTTCGATGCATACGTGCCACGTAAAAATGAAGAATTGACCACTACACCACTCTTTTTTCAGTATGATCATGCCTCAAATATTTCACAACCATCATCTCTTTTTGGTAGCAAAAAGGCTTCTGGCAAACGTCGTGCTAGATATACTAACGTTAAAAGGAAGAAGCAACTTCAAGATGCGGCAAGAAAATATGCGCATAATAACCCTGAGGTGAACAGAGCAGCGGTAACTAGGTACTCAAAAAATAAGCCGGAGGTGCATAGAGCAGCGGTGGCAAGATACCAACAAAATAACCCTGAGGTGCACAGAGCAGCTGTGAATAAGTACCAAAAAAATAACCCTGAGGTACACAGAGCGATAGAGTTTCGATATGAACTAAGCAATTCTGGAAAACGATTAGAAAGGCGAGCACTTCCGTGGAAGGTAAAAGCTTATTCAGGCATGGCATATGATCCTGATGTGGATTATGAGGCAGACAGCATTATAGCTCTGGGTACCATGAGCCAGAAGTGTAAGTACTGCAATGCCCTTAAGTGGAAGGAGGAGGCTCCTGGCATGTGTTGCAATGATGGAAAGGTGCAGCTTTCACCTTTTCAACCTCTGCCCGAGCCTCTCTACAGTTTGGTAATGGGTAGCCACTCTGAGCACGTCCACTTTATGAATCGTGTTCGGAAGTATAATGGCTGCTTCAACATGACATCATTCGGAGCCAAGCAGGTTCAACAAGACGGCTTCATACCGACCTTTAAAGTTCAGGGGCAGGTATATCACTTGGTAGGAAGCCTGCTGCCAGCATCTGAGCAAGAAGCCCAATTCCTACAAATTTATTTCGTGGGTGAGGACGAAAGGGAAGTGCGCTTGAGATGCAACAATTTTCCAGATGTCAAACACAAATTAGTTAAAGAATTGCAGAGGATGCTACATGAAGTCAATAGCTACATAAAAGACCTAAAAACTACTATAGAAAAAGTACCTACAATTTGCAAAAATTTCGAAGTTATTATTCATGCAGATAGGAAGCCCATTGATGCTCATGGAGGACGGTATAATGCACCAACAGCAAATGAGGTAGCTTTGGTGATTGTGGGACAGCAATTTGAGCAGCGAGATATTGTGTTGCACAGCCATGACAACACACTAAAGCGTATCAGCGAGATTCATCGATCATACGACGCCCTGCAGTATCCGCTTTTGTTCTGCCGTGGCGAAGATGGGTACTCTATTGCCCTGTCTCAGCGCGATCCTCAGACCAAGTTGCCCCTAAAGAATACAGTATCCGCAGCGAGCTTTTACTCATACCGTATTATGGTCAGGGAAGGGGAAGTTAATCACTTGGTGTACTTCCGTTCACTTTTCAGTCAATTTTTGGTTGATATGTATGCTAAAATAGAGACTGAAAGGTTGAATTATATTAGGAATAACCAGGTGCAGTTGAGGGCAGATAGTTACATTCATTTGAGAGACGCCATGGGAAAGCAGGATGCTGACGTTGCTCAGATGGGTCAAATGGTGGTGCTTCCGTCATCATTCACTGGGGGACCACGCTATATGCATGAGAGAACTCAGGACGCTATGACATACGTCCGTTTTTACGGTCGTCCTGATCTGTTTATTACTTTTACTTGTAATCCAAAGTGGAAGGATATCACAGATGTACTGCTTCCTGGCCAAAAATCTCACGATCGACACGATATTATAGCTAGGGTATTTCATCTCAAGGTGAAGAAAATGATGGCTCTTTTAAAAAAGGGTGATTTGTTTGGAAAAGTGACGTGTTTCATGTACTCTGTGGAATGGCAAAAACGAGGTTTGCCTCATATTCACATCTTGCTGTGGCTAGAGCAGCGCATCTTTAATAATATGATCGACAAAGTCATATGTGCTGAAATACCTGATCCCGTGAAAGACTCTCTTCTTTATAATATTGTCAAGGCCAATATGATTCATGGGCCCTGCGGGGGCTTAAACCGTAATTCGCCATGTATGAAAGGAGGCAATTGCAGCAAGAGGTATCCCAGGCAACTTCTAAAGGACACTCAGACAGGAAACGATGGATATCCGCAGTATCGGAGAAGGTCTCAAGCTGATGGTGGATTTACCGTAAAAATCAATGAAATAGAGCTGGACAATCGTTGGGTGGTGCCCTATAATCCTGTTTTGTTACGTACTTTCAATGCTCATATTAATGTGGAATTATGTAATTCAGTTAAATCTATAAAGTATATTTGTAAGTACGTGAATAAGGGCAGTGATCAAGCGACTTTTGCCTTAGAGAATAAGAGGGATGAGGTAAAATTGTACGAGAGTGGACGGTATATTAGCAGCTCAGAGGCAGTTTGGAGAATCTTGGCGTTTCCTATTCATGAGAGGTATCCTGCTGTCTTTCATCTAGCTGTACACCTCGAGAATGGTCAGCGTGTATACTTTAATTCCAAAAACTTAGTTGAGAGGATTAGTAATCCACTTCAGACAACACTCTTGGCTTTCTTCGAGCTGTGCAAAACCGACGATTTTGCAAAAACTCTTTTGTACTGTGAGGTTCCTTTTTATTTTGTGTTTAAAAATAACAAGTTTGAGAGAAGAAAGCGGGGAATGAATGTCGATGGCTGGCCAGGAATAAAGAAGGACAATGTGCTGGGAAGAGTGTATACCATCCATCCAAATAACACAGAGTGTTATTATCTTCGCATGTTGCTGTATGAGATTCGAGGTCCAACATCATTTTTAGAATTGAAAACTGTAAATGGTGTCTGTTCCACATTCCAGTCTGCATGCAAGGCATTAGGTTTGCTGGAAGATGACAAACACTGGGACAATACATTGGAGGAAGCTGCTTTGTGTGATTCTTCCTTCAAGCTGCGGGAGCTTTTTACAGTGATGTTGGTATTCTGTCAACTTAACGAGCCTATGAGTCTTTGGGAAAAGTATAAAGACAGCCTCTCAGAAGATATTACACGACAAGTGGAAAGAGAGTTGCAAAGCCCAGCAAACGCAAAAGGATTAAAAGATATTAAAATTTTTTAATACCTTTGAATCCCTTTTTTGGCGGAATTAGATGAAATTAGATGGGATTCGAAATGAGATGGTCCAATCCCATGAAATCCAAAAAAGAAATTTTAAATTCTATCCAATCCTATGGAATCCGTAAAGGTTATGGAATTGCATGACATTAGATGGTTTAGGAAACGTCTCGCGCCTCCGTTGGGCGACCAAGCGCCGTTGTTCGTCGGTGAGCTTTTGTGTATGCCTAAGGGCATTACACGCACTACTGCCGACGGGCAATTAGCCCGAAAATGAGATTTGTAAGATCTGTCAGGCACCGTAGGGGGTCCCTTTACATAGCGGTCAAAACGAAACTTGGAACTCGAGAAGATGCCCCGGTGATGCAACGCCGAGCGGCGTCGACGCGAATTGCCGGTAATGCAGATACCGCGCGGGCGTGTACTATTGTTGGCGCGTACCGCCACAGAGTTCAACACGGACACTTTTCAATCCCTATCCTAGCATTCAATGGTATTCATTTTATTGTCAGAATAGACGGAATTCAATGAAATTCAATACGGAAATTTTTAATTTCTAGTTTGGCATTCAATGGTATTCATTTCGTTAACGGAATCAATGGTATTCAATGGAATTCATCACGAAACTTTCCAATCCCTAACCTGGCATTCAGTGGTATTCATTTCGTTAACGGAATCAATGGTATTCAATGGAATTCATCACGAAACTTTCCAATCCCTAACCTGGCATTTAGTGGTATAATATTTTTGTGTCGGAATTGGATGGGATTCAAAAAAGACAAATTCTTTCCAAAATAAGGAATTCCATGATATTGAAACTATTTC